TATATATATATAATATATACATATATATAATAATTATATATATATATACACACACACATATATATATATATATATATATATATACATATATATATATATACATATCAGGTGTCTGCATATATATATGGTTAGTATATTATTCAACTAAAAATCATTGAAGGACAAACTCTGCGAGTGTTCAGCAGCAGGTCAATCTAGCTATGAGTGTAGTTGTAGGATCAGATGAAGCACGACTCGATGACGAGAGACGCACTCTCTTACCATCGACGGCGAAGGATGATGACAATAGCAGCACACACAGTATAGGCTCAGAAGAGGCGCCGAACTATCGCATCTATCGTGCAGTGGTGGCATGCATCCTCTGGGCGTGTACCAGTTCAGCCAACATCCTCATCGGCGCGTACATTCTACGCACAGATAATTTCAAATACCCCTTGTTAATGACGGGTGCGGGACAGATAGTTAGTAGTATCATTGCCATTCTGTCACGGCCATGGCTAGCCCATCACGAGTTAACTGTGCGTGAGTACTGCACCGTGATTATACCGTTGTCTGGTATGACCGCTATAGCCCTGGGTCTGAGTGGGGCGGTGTATCTATTCCTGCCCGTGAGTTTTGTGCAGATGCTCAAAGCCGCATCGCCAATTGACGTTATGTTGGTGATGTTCTTATTTGGATTACTCAACCCCTCTGGCAACCTCATCCTCTCAGTTGTAGTCATATCCTGCGGGTGTTTGTTTGCTGCCTTTGGCGAGGTGTCCTTTAGTTTGATTGGCGTGGCCGTATTCTTCGCTTCGGATATCATGGATGCCATTCGCTCTGTGTGGACTGAGACTCTCTTAGGGCGAATGGCTCTGATGGACAGTCTGTACTATATAGCTCCTGCCTCATCTGTGTGGCTTGTGTTGTTTGCTGCATTCGATGAGATTCCCAGGTTTATCGCACAGAAAGACTACGAAAAGGTGTTGGCCAAGCCGATGCTGTACTTGGTGTATTCCACTATGGGCTTCGTTGTGCAGATCATGGTGCTGGCAGTTATTAACGAGACCAGCACACTCACGCTCAAAATCGTGGGACAAATCAAGAACATTGCCACTATTATTGGCGGTGTCGTCGTGATGGGGAATCACGTATCCAATCAGCAAATCTTTGCATACTGCGTTGAGACTGTTGGGTTCTGGCTGTATCAACAGACCATGATGGCGGAGCGTGCAAAGGCGGCTAAAGAAGCAGAAGATCTCGAAAGCAACAGTGCGCTGCTGGACGAGGGGCATGGAACATTTGGTGCTCAACACCGTGCGAATAGCAGAAGTCACCCACTTTCATATTCACGCTCACATTCATCACAAAGCACAAGATCGACGACAACACGTACGTATAGCACACTCAGTCAGTATTCACGTTACAGTGTGGACGACCCAGGGCTGGAAGATCGTATGGAGGGACGACTACAGGGACATTAATTTCGCTGTATATATTCGTATATATATGCGTATTAGTGTGTATTCCGAACACCTATATCTTCACATAACTATAATTATATATAGTTTATGTATATATATATATACATGTATGTATATATATATATATGGCCAAATATCACATTGTTCTTAAATTTGTACGAATCTAGACCTACATATTCCTATGCATCAATGTAAATCGTCACCCGCGACGTAATGCAACGGACCTGGACGCCACTATCGCGTTGAAGCCAACGATTTTACGGTGATGCCGGCGTGCGATACAACCATCTGTGAGGCCCTAGAAGGCATCCCTAAATAAAATGTATCTTCTCAACCAACTTAAATATAAAGCTGATATACTTGTATTGGGGTCAGCTCGTTGGAAACGTTATAGAATGTATGGGCAACGTTGCGAACACAGGGCCTTCCACATGTTATGTAGAACCACATTTTTTTCTGATGCACATCCTCGACTTTCCGCATGCACATAAGCATACGATGAATAAATTTTGGAGATGTTTATGTGTATATACATGTCGCAAATAGATTTGCTGCATTGATTATTATCAATATAGCTTTTGGTACAAGATATAAAACGTGCATACAAATCTCGTCGCAATTTCAGATGCTTATTAAAGTGTTATTTAAAGGAAAGTTTGATATGTATTATACAAATATTTTAGACATATTCACTGCGTTGTATTGTAGTTACAGCGTCATACGATGCAGGCAATAAATGTACATACACCTCTCGTTTCAACTTTCGCATTTATATATTGTGCAAGATGATTATGCTTTGGAGATGTTTATTATGTGTATATAATACATGTCAAACAGACTTACTTCGCTGAATCTCGAAAATATGTCATATAGTATAAGCTTTGAAAATTGGTTTCATGTAATATATATTACGCAACTAAATATTGCGTTGGCTGTAGTATTGAGACCTAGGGTAACTACGTATACGCGCAGTACATGCTGTTCAGTCAGCTACGACTTCGTGCGTCGCGGGTAGGAAATAAAGATATAAACCGTCGAATAAGGTGAAATTTGGTCGAGTTGCAGCATAAAGCTTATACAGCTGTGGTGGATATTGTGATAGATTCCTTGGGTCTAGCTTTTTGGTTTAGGGCACAGCATTTAAATCCTGTTAGACAGCATACATTTCGGAATAGTATGAGAAAATTATCAAACTGCTATGCTATGCATCTATAGTACACGTAGCGAGTATATAAGAAATCTCAGATCCGAGACCAATAAAAATACCATGACACTCTTTAGTATCTATACCGCGCAACAACTGAACTTTCACGTGGTGCATAGATATTGTAAGCAGAGCACACAGCACATAATGAAGTAGTTCACTTCAAACAGCTCTGATCTGTTTAACAGGGTGCTGATATGGTGCAAACCCGCTAACATGTGGTAAACATGCACTTTGGTCCTATTGTTATCCTCTCTTGGTGCGCTTACATCTATGTTGATACATGTATAGACTGATGGGAGAAATTTATATAGCAATTGCAGAGTAGTCATTCAATAGATCATCTATACAAATTTGTACTGTATAATTTACAGGGATTTGTGTGTGTAGCATAATTTATATTTTCTTCGGAAAAATAAAATAGATTAAATTCCACATAGATTTAGATTACTGATAAGTGAATAAACGATAAAAACATGATTGTGTGGATATAGAATTTTCGTTGTAAACTGAATACAGTACAACTAAATGTATACCGTCGTATATTCAACTTCGGACATTCGTGTTTTAACTATTCAATATTCAGACATTAAAAACATATTAAATACATATTCGAGGTTACGAACTTGTTGCATACTGCCAGATTGCTTCAAATCCGCAAGAATCATAACAGAAACAAATACTGAAGTGCGCGCACTGGGACAGCCTCTAAACTCTGAAGGCTGGGCCCTGGGCCCTTGATTGTGACTCATCACTACCCACTGGGCACAGGGCAACCAGTTGTATATAGGTATGCGACTGCTATTAAATCACTGAAAACATACTGTATATTGATGCTTTCGAAAGCGCATAAGGTCCACTGTGTAATTAGTACAGTGTAGATAACCACACCAGCACTATGGTATTCAACTTGCCTCCCAGGTACTTCAACAAAGCGAAAGTGGCTACCCACAAAACATGGTTCATCTTCGTTGGCAACGTTTTGGGTAAGTAATCAAACCAACTTTTTCCAACTGATTCCAACTGAATGCAGCTTCGTTGCCTATGTAAACTGAGAATCTAAGCCGTGTTCAGTTTTTTCCAATGCATTTCATTTATAGTGTCAATTCTTTCGGAAAAATATTTATACTTTTCCAGTTGCTAAAGGGGTAATGTATAGTCAAAGGGGGTACTGCAATCAACCTCACTAAACCTTTGTATACTTTTTCTCCCTTGCAGAATGGTACGAATTCAGTGTCTTTGGGTATTTAGGTATGTGGCATAAAGTTCTTTGCCTTGACATTTCGCGCTTAAGAATTATATGCAATAGTTGCTGTCTCAGAAGCACAGCTAGTTAGTCGTGAATCCTATAGTGATCGAGTGTATTCTTGATATGACTATAGCCCTATACATGAACGCTTATAGTAGTGTAGCAGTTTGTGTGAACAACTACAAATAATGTTTGATGGTGTTCATTCCCGCTTATTCACATGTACAAACATATGCGCTCTATGTACTTGCAAATGCTCTCATTAGAGCAGACACAAAGTTGTTGTTCAATGGCCGTGGTGCCGTTATTAAATTGGTTCGTATCGGTGTGCACTTGTGTGAACGTACGGTACAAATATATTCATTGGTATAAAAGGATAAACGCACCTGTACCTCAATAGTATATTTCTATCAGTGCATGCAGTTGGTATTCCCGTGCGTTGTGTATAGCTGTCACTGCAAAAAAAACGCACCCTTTTTCAACGTCGTTCATATTCAACATTCCCCTCCCCCGGGTGTTGCGTGATACGTAAGGCAGACCTTGGGATGATGAAGGGCTTGCGAGCTATACCATTTTCTCACGTGGTTTAATGTCCGAGTATAACGTTGTATTTTTTACCCATGTGAAAGCCCTCCAGTTGCTCATATACCTTGCCGGTTGTTCCATCACAGTAAATGAAATTGAACAGAATTTCTTCAACGGATCGGGCTCGCTCGCGACGTGGTCTGCTTATGCTGGTAAGTGTTTATAAACATCCTTGTGTTTCACTGATTGCAGTTTGGTTACAATGTATATTCAAATACAAGTTAAGTTATTGGTAGTGTGTAAAGAGTTTCAAATGGACCTTATGCTTATGATACGTCCACTATGCTGGCATATAACTAATATACCTAATATTCCCCATATAAACAATCTCCACGCATCGTGCATACTTTGTATTACATCATGTAAGCGCGGCGTGATCACGAGTCCATTACAAGTCAGATGAATCTGCACATCATTTCATCTTTTACCTCGATATAAACCCTAAAATGCACATCTGCTCGCCATATATAGGACACCCTCTCCTCGCAAACTAACAAGAAGCACATACGACACTCGTACTAACACGCACCATGCCTTCCGCGCTGCTTCTGCGCAGTTACATTCCTAGCACGTCCTCTGGGAGCGCTGATGCTCGGCTGGGTGGCTGATCACTGTGGACGCAGGACAGCCCTCCTAATCTCTCTGCTGGGCATGATCCTCTCCACTGTGGGTCAGGGATGTCTGCCTTCTAGCTACTGCTGTGGTGACGTTCCAGGCGTTATCGGCGTGGTTATGCTGATAATCCTTCGCGTGGTGCAGGGCATTTGCACTGGGGGCGAGATAGGCGGTGTGTCTACGTACTTGGCTGAGCATGAGGACAAGCATGTGTTGGGCATGCTATCGGCTACTGTGGGTATTGGGGCGTCCATTGGGTTTATGTTGTCTAGTATGGTCATTCTCATTCTGCACCTTGCACTGAGTGACGAGGACATGCTGCTATGGGGATGGCGTGTGCCGTTTCTCCTGGCTATCATACCGGGATGCTTTGCATTGTATGGCCGGAACTATCTAGAGGAAACCGATGAGTTTTTGGATATGGTAGCTCTGGAGAAGGCTGGTCAAAAGATGGACAGCAACGATGTTGCACACATATCCGCAGCCCCACAGGACCCCTCGATCACCACCAGCATTACATTTGACGACAAAGATACCTCCGCGAAATGGGGAGATAAAAGTGACATCGCAGGTTTGAGCGCGCATGACGATCCTGAGCGTGAGATGGATGTGAGTCCAGCAAGCACAACCACACCACCCTTACAGGCATACGCCACACAGGTCACGGCAGGTAATGAGGGAGAGGCTATGGATGATACGGAGTACGAGGTGGATGATATCACGGGTGCGCGTGTACCACGTATGAACATGCAGAATGTGCAGAAGGATAGAGCCGTGTTGCCGACGCCTCAATGGCAGGATGGTGCTGATCCTGGGGCCCAGGAAGAGGGTCTTGCGGTGCCGCCCTCGGAGGGGAATATACTGCCAGACAAGAAACAGTATAAACAGGACAAGATGGAGGCCAAGAGGCTGTCACTCGCCAGTGCGAATCAGCGGTCGAAGTTCCCGTTGGGCGATTTGGTGATGCTGTATCCCTACCAGACGTTCACGGTTCTGTTTGGATTAGCAGCATACTCGTGTACATGGTACGTGACGCTGGTGTACAGTTTGGACTACATCCGTGACGAGCACAATGTCAGTGCGAGTTCGGCCATGGGCATGGCTGTGGTGGGCAATGCCATTGCGGTGGTGGTGGGGCCTTTCAGTGGTGTACTGGTGGATGGCTATGGCGTAGGCAACCAGATGATGTGGGGTGTGGGTTCTCTAGTTGTCTTCAGTGTACCTGCGTGGGCAGTGCTCGTCAACGTCAACAATATCGCGGTATTCTACATCATACAAGCCTTGATGGGAGTGGTGAACGGGTGCTTATGTGCCACACCATTTCTGTGGGTAGCTGAGGCCTTCCCCACTAACATGCGTGCGAGTGGTTTCTTTGCATACAACATCGCCGTAAGTGTATTCGGTGGATGTGGGCCGCTTATCTGCGATGCGATGGTCAGAGGTTGGTCCGCGTGGGGCCCAGCATTGTACGTTTTGGTGTGCTGTGTGCTGTCACTCTTTGTGGTTTGTTTGTCATACTATCTAAACAAGAGGGGTACGGCCACCATGACGCATATCCGACACACTCCCTATTAGAAAAGACCATATAGCCGTCTTCGCCCTTCATATGAAGCGTAAGTAAATAACCTGCAAGTATTGTAACTAGTGACAACCAATAAATTCCTATCTTTATACTTGACTCAATTGTTCCATGTCCCTAGTGTGCTTGTGACTTTCTTCCTACTGAGATGATCTGGAGAGCAGCTTTTGAAACTGTCACTATGTTCTCGCCAGGCTATAGTTTGAACTCATTCACTCGCAAACATGATGATGTTCGTGTGCAAGCCATTCAGTGCCGATTGCACCCAAATCATCGGTCACGTTCTTTATCATATCCAGACAAGTAAATTCCCAAGTTCCTCTTTCGAGATTACACAGGAACAAACATGCCTAATGGCTTAGTAGATTATGGCAAACTGTGCTCTGTATGCATGAGTGGCTGCTCCACACAATCCTGGCCGAGAAATGAGAAATGATCTGGCATTGGATTTAGACATGCTCTATTCTACTGTGCTATTCTTTGAGTTGCCTATAGGTATGATCATATTTACGCGGTCAGCATTTACAACTGCGTTCTATAAAATTCCTCAAGTTTTTGTTTCTTGATATGAAGTTAACACATTGTAACAGATCATACAGGTATGATCTCATTATGCAATTATATAGTATGTGTAGCTGTACGTCTACGATGAAAACGTCTGCGATGAATAATACTATCTACTACTCTATGCTATCTACTACTCGCCTTTGCCGCCTAGGATTCATTGAATACTCGACTGAGTATTTTATTTGTTGATTGACCTGTTCGGATCAGTTGACTATATCCAACGGTATGTTTACCTACAACTATTGTCCCTATAATCAATTTTTCGGTAAAAGTTGTCCTCGGCTATACGTGCTATTCCTGGCAAAGTTCTAGTAACATAAACCAAGCATTGTCTATGCGCGGCTTTGTTGTACATTACCCACATCACACACACTCGCATACAAAGAAGTTCTTCGTAATACAATAAATGCAGAATTCCGTCACATATTTGGTTTTCCTGTGCGTACGTTGGACCCACGGGTCTAGTAGTTGATACATACATATTTGAAGGCAACTAAGAGACGGAGCGCGTGAGTTAAGACATAAAAAGGATACTGTCACTGAAAGTAAACCATATATCGATCGAGGCCGCGCACCCAATATGCAAGTTTGGTGCTGTACCCGAATAGGTAAATAAACAATATATCGTGACAGGTGCTAGTACATGGCCAAATACAAAGAGGACTCGTCCCGAATTGGCATTAATCGCGCACTTTTGGGTGGCAACTTTTTGGATTAGTGCACTGTGGATTTGTCGCAAAGCTATTTTTGAAAGTCAGTCCGCAACGAATAAAGATGAGAATGAATAGCTGCAGAACACTTGCAGGAATCATCGATCACTCTGCTCAAAGCAGAGCAAGGCTTGCTGGATTGATTAGCTTAAGAAAAAGGAAAAGCCTTGGCTGTGATCGGAATCATCCAGGTGAACACCGATCGCTGCTGTGTTACTACTAATTGACCCGTGATTCGCTGTCAGTTGAATTGATGAACTTTATCCTCGGCCATTTTATCATTCTAGCCAGAAAATTTTTATCATTCTAGCCAGTATGTTGGAGTACTTGTTGACTTTTTTACGAACCTCAGTCATATGGCCACAGTTTTGATATTTTACCACGATTTGACGTGTATATGTTCTAACGGTATAAGGACTGTGAAGTGTATAGTTATTGTGCATTGAAACTCTGCTAGGTACGGCCCTAAATACGGCGACATGGATTTGGTAGTTATATATCTGATGGTGTTCGAGACCACCCAGGTGTAGAGTCGGATACAACTACAACAGAACAGTTAGCTGCGGTTATTGAACAGTCGTTCCTATATGATAGATTGAATATTCTTCTAGGGTAAATCGTGGCCATGTTATTTTATGCCATGTGTTGTAGTGAATCCCGATGGGTCTACTAGTAAAGATATTCCTGCGAGCTGGGAAAAATATGCTGACAGTATATCGGCAATGCGCATGACGGAAGATAAAGAGCGTCATCCAATATTCAAACTTTAAGTGATGAATACGTAGGCTCGGCAGTAAACTTTAACATGTACTTACACGTGGTGAAACAGTTTGGAGCAGACATACCGGACCGGATAGGTAATCTGGTAGCGTAGAAAAAAACAAGCGAGTCAGAGAAATCTACAGAGAAAGAAGAACCGCGCTCGAATACTAGTCCCCGACGACAAACCATTCGCTCTCTGGCTTACCAGATTACTGGCCACAGTGTTGGGATCAAAAGCTCCCCGCAGTATTGTCGAGGCATGAAACTCATGATGAGATGCCAGTGATATTGTTCAGCGCCACTATGGCTGAATATCGTTGGTCGAATCTACATCAGTGTCTATATGTTAATTACTTAACTGTTGTAGACAGAATGAAATCGAAAGGAATCGTCCTGGGAGACAAGAGAGGACTAAAATACTCCATTCTATCCTAAACGACTATCTTCAAATACTAAATAGATAAAGTGTTGCAAGGACGACTCGTTATTTCCAATTGTTGGGCCAGAGATGAGCTTGCAATGAGCCGAGGTGCCATAAATTTTCACTCTTTACTCTGGAAAACAAAAGCATGTGAATTCATACATGAATTGATAGATGGCGCACTCGAAACGTGCAACAGTTCAACGTATTTTATTTTATTAATGAGCAAAAGATGTTTTCAATTTGAAAGCAAGGCAGTGAAAAGGACAACCGACTTACTACCTCACATACTGAAGTTCATCACTACGGACACGCAGCAGGAAGGAAAGATCAAACCTTGATGTGCCTATTGATACGCCCTTATAGTTGGAAAGTAGCAAAGCTTAATCCCCTAACTGCATAGGACAAACAACTGAAAGGAAGACGGGTCAAAGGTAAAGATGTTGCAGTATATTCGATTGGCAATTTTGATAAATGTGAACCTCATGAGGATATAGCTTATGAAACTGATTTATCACGTCTGTGTATATAAGGGTTCGATGTGAAGAATGAAGACAAGAAGCAGAACGAAATCAACTTGACTGATCGCAGATCGACTAATAAAGGCATTATTAGCGAAAGGGATAATGCCGTAGGTAGTGATGGAAGGCGATTTCAATGAACAAGAAGTATCAACCCAATTAGACATTCTGAACGATAACGGTGAAAATGCACTCAAAGTAAATGAGGTTTGGATTTTGATACGGAGCTGTTGGCTACTAACTTTTTTACTTCATCATGTGTAAGAAGTCACTGCAGAGTTTAGAAAGTTCCTTAACTACTGGAAAGACGACATAATTACTTTCTGATAACGATGGAGAAGATAACTCGGGAAAGAAAAAAGGGATTCGCGGCAGCAGTTCTGTCCATTGCACGAAATTCGCCTTTTACCATCGACGAGTTTATTACAATGCCGAATATTGCGTTTATTACTACAACGTCAACTACTACTACGACGACCATAACAGTACCGGCTATGACGTCGACTGCTAATGCGTTGAATACTATGACTACTGTGCCGACTACTGCGTTGACGACTACTGTGACGACTACTAAGTCGACTTCTACTACGTCAAGTACTATGACTACAGTGGCGACTAAAACGTATGACTATTACTACGTCGACTATTGTGACTACTCTGTCGACCACTATGACTGCAGTGGCGACAACTATGTCGACTGATACTACGTCGACTAATGTGGCTACTGTGGCGAACACTACGTCGTCGACTACTACTACGCTGACTACTGTGAATACTTTATCGGTTTTGTGTTGACTACTACTTGCCGTTTTTGAAATAAATAATATTATCCCTATGTCGACTGCTACTCTGCCGACTATTACGTCGACTATTGCTGTGCCGACTACTGTGTCTACTACAACTATTGCGACTGCTATGCTGCTATGTCAACTGATACTATGTCGACTACTATGCTATTATGTCTACTGATTCTCTTTTGACTACTTTGACTATTGTATCGACTACTATGTCGACTATTACTTTGGCGCCGACTGCTATGTCGGCTGCTACTACATCGACTGCTGTGTTGACTACTACTGTGCCGACTACTATGGCAACTGCTATAGTGGCGACTGCTACTATGCCGGGTATTATGTTGACTACTACTGTGTCGAGCACTATGAACGCTGCTACTCTGCCGTCTGCTATATTGCTATGTCGACTACTACTACGCCGACTACTGTAACTACCGTGCCGACTACTATGCCGACTACTATGTCGACTGCTACTACATCGACTACTACTGTGACTATGGTGCCCACTACTATTGTGTCAACTATTTAAATACTGTACACACTAATATGTCGACTGCCTACTACGCCGACTACTACGCCGACTGCTACTATTCGACAATCACTGTACCGACTATCAAGCAAACTGCTACTTCGTCGTTTACTACTGTACTGGCTATTATATCGCTGCTACTGCGTCGACCACTACTTTGCCGACTACTACGGCAATTACTACTATTCCCACTGTTATGTCGTCTACCAATGTGTCGACTACTATGACGGCTACTGCTATGCCGACTACTATGTTGCTATGTCGATTGCAAGTACATCGACTACTGTGACTACTGTGCCGACTACTATGTCGACTAGTACTGTGCCGATCACTATATATGCTGTTACAACGTCGACCACTCCTGTGCCGACTACTATGTCGGCTGCTTTTGTGGGTGGCTGCGAGTACATTGGTTGCTACTACGCTGACTACTACGTCGACCGCTGCAATGTCGACCACTGTGTCGACTTTTACTCTGTTGCCGACTACTATGTCGACTGCAACTGCGTCGACCACTCTGTGGTTGCTGTGCCGACTACTATGTTGAATGCTACTACGTCGACTGCAACTTCGTCAAATACTATTCACATCGACTGCTGCTACGCCAATTACTTCTGTGCCCAATATTGCGTCGAGTGGAAATATGCTGATCGCTATGTCGACTACTACTGTGCCGACTACTATGCCGACTGCTACTACATTGAGCACTACCGTGACTTCTGTGCTGACTATTATGTTTACTGCTACACCGACTGCGACTACGTCGATTATTACATTCACATGCTCGAC